ATGAGCCGGCAATGAGTGTGACTGAGCCGTATGCTGTTGATGATATAGTTGAAAGCATTTTCGTTATTAGTCTGCTTGCACAATTGCACATCCGTACAAATAGGAATATATTAATGCAATCGAGCTCGATTATAATGAGCGTGAGATCTAGATGTTGCGAGTGCAGCGATAAAAAAATCAACCAGCGACGACGACGACAATTGATTCGAATGTGAGCATCTTTTATTGACGGTTTTTCTATGCGATTTATGTCAATTAATGTAAATCTGTTAACGCGTACACAATTTTTTTTGTTCGTTCGAATCGTGAAAATGAAATGCATACGCACACACACACGATGCCGCAGCAGTGCGCACTCATTTCATCTGCATGTCTCTCTCTCCGCTTCTTTTTTCCATTTCTCTAAGCGGTTAAAATGACAGCGAATGTTTATGCGCGCTACATATTCGTGTAGCGTACGGTGAAAATCAAAGGAAATCCGCAATATCAAAAACTTTCAATAAAAAGCGGATAGCTGTTGATTGTTCCGAAAAGCTTAACCTCTTTCGATCATCGTTAAGCCTATTATTTCAACGGAAAAAAAATCATTTGAAAAACAACGGAATCCCTTTCTCAACACGGAACACAATTCTTTCTCTTATTCGGTGAATCGCTTTTTCTTGTATGCGTTGCGGTTCACACCGTCGGTCCTTGTGTGAACAGGACGTTCATGGGACGAATTTTTTTTTATCTTGATTCGCAAAATCGTGTTATGAATAAATTTTAATTAAATTAACGTTTAACTGAAATATATGGCACATTAAACAGTTTGCATTGATAATTAAGATCCTTATCATAATCGAAAATTACATACGACAATGCAAAACAAGCAAGCCGAACACGTTCATTTCTCTTCTTTTATGCTTCCATCAACAATGTAGAAAATAAATGAAACTAATGACGACGAGTGTGAACTTTTAAACGGCTTTCGGTTCGATTCGAAAAGGTATTGAGAAAAATAAAAAGCGAGCAAGAAATCCAAGGAATCGCTGTGAAGCGGAATGGTTTCAAGTTGGTGTTATGTTCGGTTTTCTTTTTCATCGGAATTGAATGCATATATTTCATGGGCGCTTCGTTTCGTTCATGAAAGCCGCAAAAAAGCATTTTTTTTGCATGTGTCAATCTGTGAGTTGCCCTAAAAACATATTATACTCTTCACATTTCTCGTTGCTACTTTATCCATAAAAACCGCAGAGCCCTGCCAATCACTTTTCCCCTGTGTGTAAAATGTTTTTCATTCGCATGAACCACTGGAATTTGGTTGGCTCAGTCTTGCCTGTCTTTGCATCTTCGGGAAAAGCAGCAGAAAAAAAATGTAAAGGATTTGGTTGCGCCACATGGAAACAAGACAAGATTGAAATGAACGGCCAAAAAAAAAATTCAGTGTGATCAGTGTGGCGATGCGGCAGACAATGAAAATGCATTACTTATGCCCATCATTCTGAACCAATTATTTTGTTTCATATATGTGCATATATTGCTTCTGTAGCCCATCATTTTTTTCCATCTTCGCTGGGCAGTGATTCGTTCAAGCGAAGTAGAAATAACTTTACGTGGTGGAATCGTGCGTGGTTTGTTTTTTTATTCGTCTTCTTTCATGTGGCAAGTTTGAAGTGTAGGCATATCAATTTTTGTCAAGATTTTTTTCTTTATTGTGACGTTGAATGCGTGTAATTCGAATGGAGCCAAGTGAACGGTGCATCAGCATCAACAGCGTGCGGAGAAAAGGAGCAATGACAGCTGCCTAAATGGGATTCATTTGACTTTGAGTTTATATATAGAGAGTGGATAGAGACCGACTGACTGACTGAGATGTGCACGGTCAGATATTTATGATGACACTATAATGAAACGGAATGTATAGCACGTTGAATTCAGATATATATATATATATATATATATATATTCGAGAAAGCACGTATCGAAGGGGGCTCAGCACTGAGATTTCGCATGCGAACGAACAAATGCAACGATTAATCTGCATGGAAGGTAACGAACACACTCATCAGAACAGAGATAGTAAACCGTAATAAGAACGATCAATGTACGTTTTTCGTATTTAATTTCTTATTTTTTTTTCGCTCCGCCGTACGTCGAGTGTATTTTTGTTTTGATTTCGAAATGGTGAAGAGGTTTTTGGTGCGCTTAAAAAAAAAGCAAATAGCGTAAAACGTTCGAGCATATCAAGCCGATTATGTGTTGTTGCCCTTTTTTGCCGTGTTCTTTGTGCTCGAGACGTTCTTTTTGTTGGGTTTCCTTTGAATGAACGAAACTGGATCATTGATTGATTGGGTTGAAGTTCTGTGTGCTGTTGCTTTTTTTCTTGCGTCTTCGCTTTTGGTATTCTTCTTTTTATGAACTTTTTGCTTTCAATGCTATTCGAAAATGTTTATGTGCATCATTGCGCCTCGCCGTTTTTTTTTTTCTTCGTCTCTTTTTTAGGTCAGTTCACGATTTGAATGTGCAACGTCAATTTTTATGCAAGTCATTTTAATCTGATCCATTGATGTGATGTGGAAATTGAAGTCCTAACGGTACACATTGAATGACTTGGATAAATTTCCACATTGAAAAGAATCCGTCCACAATTTGATGTTGCTTCATGAGATGTACAAAACAGAGAGAGAAATTCCAGTGTGCGCCAAGCGCGCGCACAGTCCATAAATAATCAGTTTCCCTAATTGATTTACTTTGACCTGGTGCGATCATTTTCGTTCCGAGTTCCTGTGTGCGCTTGCTCGATCGCTGGGATGTTATGATGCAATAATTGCGCATACATTTTCGTTGTGGCCATTGTTTCGCCGCGACGATCGCTATGCTATGGACGATTTTATTCACATTAAATGCTTTGATTACACTATAGTGCTAGCCGTAATAACCATAATGTGTAATCATGCGCTGGGTACGGATTGCGATGTTGCTGCTGCTGCTGTTGCTCTGGTTTGCGCGCTCTTGTTGCGAATACTCTTTGGCTTAGAATTGAAGACAAATCCATTTTTTTCTTCATTTGAATACACATTAAATGAGATTTTATTCAGCGATTAAGCCTTAAAATGTGCAATTTGCATTGTTTTCGTGGAATTTCAGTTGTTGACGCGGTTTTAGAGGAGGCTTAGTAATGTATTTTCGCGCTTTCTTTGTCTCGCCCAAGACTCGCTCGCACGTGTGCATTTGATCATCGAGAGTACGATCGACGAAACAGCGTTGGATTGACTCACAAGCCATCATCGCATTTACCAAGCTAATTTATCGTTATACATATTTTTGCGAAGTTTTTCGACTCACTCTCTCTGTGTGTTTGTTTGTTTGTTTGTTTTTCATTCGTTTGGTTTCTACACACAAAATTGCCGTTATTGTTGGCGTTTCAGTTTGAAATTGATGGTGCTCTCTGCTACTCCGTTCCATTTGCCACGGATAAGAAACAAAAGTGAATCTGTTTTCGATTGTGTTTCTGGAGCGTGGGATGATTTTCATTTCCATTTATTAATTTGTGCACTTCGCATGGTTTTGTTTTGTTTTGTTTGTTTGGTTTTTTTTCTGTTTCTTCTCTTCTCTTCGGTTACTACTGCGATTCATAGTGTGCTGATCACTTTTGGTTTCCATCGTCTTGATCGCCTCTCTGGTTTTCCCTTGATTTATTCTATATTTTACGTCATAATTCGTTTGCACTAGATTCATCGAGCTGTGTGCGCTCGCCACCACACAAATTAACGTGAAAAATGCAAAATTATTATGTATTACAAAATTGCCGTCACATCAAGACTAATTTTTATATGCGATAGCATCAGAAAAGCGGAATATAATTAAGAAATTTGTTTGTTTTGTTTCTTCATTTGTTGCTGCTTGTCGGAAAACGGCATTTCGATTATTACTCTATGAGTGTCTGTGTGTTTTTTTTTCACTTGCTTGTACACTGCAGTTTTTGCTACCATTTTTAATACACTTAATTTTGATCGCTTCTCAACTTGAAGAGACAATAAAAATGTGAAAAAGATACGGATACTTGTGTGTGTGCGGATTCTCTTTTCCATGACTGACTAAACTGTTAACGCATGTTGAAAAGGAAAATGGCAAATGGATTTTTCGTTGTTGTTTCTTTTCGTTGGTTTCTTCATGTGCATTCGAAACAACACAATCAAAGTAATATTCATTCTTATTGCGGAGAGTCTGAAAATAATGGAGGTGAGAAAAATGCCCGTGCATTCGCGGTTGTCTTTTCATTGTTTGCTTCTCTGGCTTGGTATATTTTTCGTTTATTTTAGCGACGAGCAAATTAAGTATGTGTGATTTGTGTCTGCATTCCGTATAAAATGGTACAGTGGCGACACTGAAATGTTTGTGCTGGTTATTTCATTATGTGACGCATGGAATGTTGTTCGCAGACAGCGAGTTCCTTTGTTTTTTTTTCCTCGCTCTCTTCATTTTGCCCACATCTTCGCAAGTGCGCACTGTGCTGGGCTGTGAGAAAAAGTTTCAATTTAGAATTCTTCCATTTGCTCTATTCATTCTTCGATTTCTCAGCTGCACCGGAATTTTTTTTTTTGATGTCTTTATTATTTCATGTTTGCCTAATCTTGAAAAATTGAATGTACCAAACCGCATAGATGGGATTTAGGTTAAAACGAAAAACAAATCTAATGCAACAACCCCAGAGCTGATTGAGTCATTGCACCGACAGTTTCATATTCTTGAGCATTGTTTCCTATTGCGATTAACAGACAATTAGAGGCATTGCATTTTGCAGCAGACAATTTTTCTATGATACAAATCGTTTTTTTTTTTATATTTTACGTTTATGCGAATTCTGATCTGTACAAAAATGCACGATGAGATTTCTACTTCACTGGTGGTCCTTTGTAATCATTTGTTGCGTTGAAATGTCTCGATTGTGTGTGTGTTTTCCAATGAAAACCGAATTATTATTTGTTGCAACAAAATATGAAAAATCATAAAATACTTACATTGGCCACTGGCGATGGTACTTCGTATTCGTTTTGAATTGTCTGGATTTAAAATTCAATCTTCAGGAAACGGTGTGTGTGTGTTTTGGTCGTTGGCATTCTTTTCGAGGAATGTTTGATTTTTAGAATGCTGTTGTGGCTCTGGCGATCGGTTGTAAAGGCAGTTCCGTTAGACCGTTCACAATCGGCTCTGACATTTAGCGATTGATGGGAAAAAAGTGCACAAATTTTTTGTCGATTTATGGATTTATTACTTTTATCGTATATATAACTTTATTTTCCGTGGTCATTTATTGCTTTCATAAAAACGCAAAATTTATTGATGGTTTTAAGATTGTTCGACGCATGTATGACGACGAAAAACCCATATAATTTGTCGTGCCACCAAGTGAAAATTAAAAATATCGTATATTTTCTTTTCGGGAGCCCCGTGGATCCGCCCTATCGGTTTCCCAAATTCGAAATGGCTCTTTTATTTTCTTTAATGTCTTCACACTTGATGAATTACACAAGTATCGCGGCGAGAAAAAAAATGCAACGCACAAAAAATGTCAATTTAAATTATAATTTTTCGTGAATTAAACGAAAAACGGTTGATTTGAAAGAGAAAATAAAACACTTTTATATGCAAATTAAAAGTTTAGTGTTTCGATGCGTCTTTGTGGTCGCAGTCGCTTATTTTTTTTTCTTTCCTCCGGGTTATTAATGTGCATTTTAATTGTTGACTTTGTCTTTATTTCTTCCGTCTCTCGCGCCTCGAACTTCGGTGTTGTTGTTGGCTTTTTTTCGCTGTATTTTTGGAGTCACTTGTAATTTTAGAATGGCTTTTAATTTGTGTGTTGACAAAAGGTCAATTATTCATGCATACAAAACGATCTTAGCCCATTTGTGACATTTGAGATTATGCGTCTCTATGATCAAACCGCTGTACAAATATCGCCAGCTTGGTTAACATGAATGTCTTGATGTTGTTTTTTTTTTTCGTTCGTGCTTGGAAGACGATCGTTCGATGCACACACTGAGGTCGTAAATTTGCGCTGCATGAAGAGACCCAATTCTTCGTTTCTTTTTCTTCACGTCGACAGAAAGCAAAAAAAAAGAATCACACAAAACAAACCGAAGAAAAACAATAAAAGAGCAATGAACACAACCTACGACAACGCGCCACAATAATCATTTAATTATAATATCAGCGTTCGGTCCAGTGTTGGAGCACATAAATTTCAAGTGATGTTTTAATTTCAGTGTTTTTTTTTCTTCTCTTACACTGTTTTTATTTTTCTGCTTAAAATAATATATTTTTTCTCTCTTTTTCAATGTACGACCTTGTTTCCTTTTAGATCTTTACAGTCATCATGCGGTCCGACACTCAGCTCCGATTACACACACATATTTTCCATGAGTATGACCATTTTATCGTTGAAAGGCAATTAATTATTTAAAAAAAAAAAGAGCAAAAGATGTGTCCAATTTTTACAAGATCACATAAACAATTAAAATATAACAGTGTACAAAAAAAAAACAAACAAATCAACCCGACAGATGAAAAAAAAATGTTTTCACGTTTGTTGGATTTTTGCTGTGTGTATTTTCGCGCAAACGGTTTTTCACTAAGCCGAAGGTAATGCGCTTGAAATGAACACACAATATATAATGATAATGACGAAGATGTGTTCACACGAGACGATATGGTGATCTCTGACCAACGCAACAAATGACTCACAATGGATGGACGGATGGCCAGTCAGCCGCCGATGTGAATGTCGAAAAATTGAATAAATGCAAAAAAGAAAGAAAAAAAAATTCGCACAAAAAGGTTTCGTGTCTGATATTACACTTTTATAGTCTTTAATGTTTCAGTTAGTTCGTCAACGACATATATGAAGTTTTTCTTTCTCCAGAGTCGTAAAAAAATCGCGAGAACTCGGAAATAACGTTTCGGCTGTTCGTAATATACCGCACAGTTTTGGTTTTACAATAAAATTTATCAGGTTTCGATTAAGATGATCAAATCGACGAGACCCGCACGATGCACACTGGTCAAAACGAATTTATTTCACAAGTTTTATTGTTAATTCAAAATGTTTCGGTTTGTTTTTTCTTGTCTCGTCTCGATCGCGAGCCGAAGATCTTCTTGTGGTTTCACCAAATGAACCAAACGAACGACATTTAACATATGTAATTTAAATGCAATTAATTTTCTTTCGCCTTTAATTCCCGTTGATTGTTCCACCTTTTTTTGCGATGCTTGTTGTCTTTTAAATGCTGTACATCATTTTCCTTTGTGTTTCATTAGTCTTGCACGCCGTTTTTATTTTATCCGGTTTTGATAAAATTGATGAGTCGCTGGTGGCGTAGATGTGTAATTTAGTTCATGCTTTTATTGAAATAACGTCTGGACGAAGGATCGAAATATCAATGCAATAAATCAAATAAAGGTTATCGTATTTCAATTAATTGTCACGGCACACAATTCGATGCGACACACACTTGGTGATCTTTTCGATTCAAGAAATTCCCAAAAAAGAACTATTGTCACAATTATTCACTTGCGAGTTCGTTAGGCTCCACATGAAATTTCGGAACGAATTCAATGTTAGAAGCCGGTTCGTTGCTTATTGACTTATTGATGTCTTTTGTCTTGTCGACTTTGCACTTGTGAACTGTTCGAGCTGGTCGAAAACAGTTTAAATGGAACACTTTCGATGTTTAACGGTTTTTGATAAAATATTTGGGAACTGTTTAGAATTGAACTGTTCACTAAGAATATTTTTAAAATATGGCGTTAAACACAAAACAGATGAATTCTTGCAAAATAACTATTTAGCTCGTCGAGATTGTTCTTGTTCTTCTGATTTTAAATCTATTTTTCTGTAACGAATTCAAATTGAATTCAAAATTCGATCGGCGAAAATGTGATGCAGATTACTGAGTCAATTTGCGATGTGTGTTGCGCGCCGCGCGATCGAAACGAGAGTAATTGTAATAATGGTACTTTAAGTATCAAGTGCTACAAAACCACTGAATCTGTAGTTAAGTTTTTCGCGCGCGTACAAAAAAAACCAGTGCACGATATTATAATACGAGTGTGAGACTGTGTGTCAGCTTGTGTGTGTCTCCTCTCTCTCAAATGTGCTTCGAGATGCTGTGGCTGGATGCCGATATTCACAACATACTGCCGAGCAGTACTACGGACGTATGAAGGAAAGAAGAATGTGAATAATACATCGAACAAAATAATGAACGAAATCGAAGAGAGAGAAGGAAAAAAAAAGCGAATACACAAAGCAAAAGCAGTTTTACTACGTGTGCTGTTATGCACATCTCGCAGTCGCAATCTCGTAATGCTGTGCGCGATGTTCGCGTACAGACACACTCAAGGCACGCGAGAATATACACAAACGAAAGCTTTGGATCATAATAAAAGAAGCGGAGAAGAAGAAGAAGAAGAAAAAAATAATAACTCGAACACATTGAATGTGTGTACTTAGCTCACTACACGAAACGGCGCATGTGATTGCGATGATCGAACGAGCCGAGTGCAAACATTGGCACAGCGGTCCACTGCTTGGACTCTCTGGCTACGGTCTTACCTTATACATGTCTGCCTCTTCCTCTTCTCTGTTCGCATTTTTATTCGTCTGACGAATGAACTAGCGTGTGTTTGTGTACTCAGCAGAGCCGCAACAGCGGAGAAGAGAATAGATGAAAGAAAAAAAAACAACAATAACAAATGAATGGCAAAAACTGAGACGGTCGTCGCGAGTGGGAAAGAGAAAACGTATACGTAAATTGAAATTAATTGTTCGGGTAGAGCACATAATATCCATTCTAGCCGATCGGCTCAACCAATTTGCCAATAGCTATCTCTTTCTGACGCTGGGCGAGAAGCATTGCAATTGTCACTGTAGTAGACAGTTTTCGGTAACCGTTTTACCGTTCAACGCTGTATTTTTGCGGTTGGTTTGCCTCTTCTTTTGTCTTCTTTCAACAATGATGTGCCCGCACTAGACGATGGTGGTGTACCGCGATGTATTTTCGGTTTTCGTGGTATATGTGGGCCCGTAACGTCCTCTTCTTTCGATGTATGTTCGAACCGAAACTGTGAATGGTGTAGATTTGTCTCCCGCTCTTTTTTTTCATTTACCACTGAAACGGGGTTTTGGTCGTTCGAAGCATTGAAGCATCGCAAAAACTCCGTTTTCACACTTATGCGTATTTTTTTCGTCGCTGCTGACGAAAAAGAGCAACTGCAAAGAGGCAAGGATTTTAAACGCAGAAATTGGTTTAAAGTCTCGGATTTTATTTGCCTATGAATCATTTCGCATTAAAATCATTTCTCCATTTACGTTGAACTTACGGTATTTTTTGTCTATTTCGAATGTTTTTCTAACTGTGAATTTTGGAATTTAAACTCTCTTTATGTGCGTTCAGGTGTGTACATTGTACTCGTAATTGATTCTACTGACGAACGAATTAATTATGCACTAGTTGCAGAATTCAGCTGCGAATGGGTGCCCGATACGGACTGCATGTGTCAAATGTTATTGATCAGACGAAAATGCGGCAACGCTTTTTGCACGGAAGGAATAATAAAAAACACAAATTGCCCCCGATCAAGGCGAAACAGCGTTGCGAGATGATCGTTGAACTGAAATATGTCGCCAATTCTATTGCATACAATTTAATGAAAATTAAAATGTTTTTGTATTTTATCGCCGATTTGCTATTTTTCCGTTGGACCCATGACATTCTAAATTCCGTTTAGCGATGTTTCATGCCTGAAACCACGAAGCTGTTGAGATTCCAATGCCTCAGTCGAATCATTTCAGCGGTTACCTGGATTAACCTGCTGCCGGAGATAGGAAAATAGAAATGTTGGCAATTCAAACGTCAATTATCGTGCACACAAAATTTATAACGCAATTTTGGTTTTTATGGCAATTTTATGGCCGAATGCATGCCACATTCGCCGCAATTCAGGAACTCTAATTAGCTGCAAAATTTCAATGATTACCTGTTATAATTCGATTTATTATTTCATCATATGTGTATGGCTTTTTGCGAGCACATCTCGCAATTGATGTCCAGATGGGAAAAAGTTTTACGACTCGCACAAATCGGTTTCGGGTTTTTATCTTCCATTTCCTTTGAATATGCCAAATGGCGTACACACACCAATTCCCCATAAAATTATCATAAACTTCAATTAAGTTGGCACGAGCCACCGCTTATTATGTGAGAATAGTGAATACGGATGGTTTTTATGCGATTCAGTTAGAGATGAAATCGTAAAAAAACTCTAAAAAAAATCTCGGCTCGTTACTTGATGCTACTTCTTCGACGTTGCAAAAAAAAAAGTCCAACTCAGATCTGCATTCTGAATGTAATCTCTGCTCGAATCTAAATTAGATGAGGAAGGAAGGTGCATACAAAAGCCATTAAAAACGAAGCGATCAATTTATACAATCACAATAACGGAATTTAATAAGGAATCGTGCACTATTATAAAACAAGATCGGCACAACTTGAATCACATCGTGAACACAAGGGAGACAACAAATAAAAAAAAATACGATGTTAACTCGATCGCATTGAAGTGGTACGCGTAATGCGAACCTCTCTGCATCTTCAGCTCCATACAATAGAAACGGAGCGGGAAAAAAAGGAGAGAACATTGCACTGATTTAAAGTGGACAAAATGGAAAAAATGGCAACAGCATTTTTTGTGTATGTTTTTTTTCTCTTTCGTTCTGCCATGGATTGTATGCTGAATCCCATTACATTATCAGATAGTGGGTATCCTATTTCAATTTCGGTTGGCAAGGGATTAGATGCGGGGCCGTTAGTGGAATTCCGTGCATTTGCATTGGCTGCCGAATTGAAACCATGGTCTGCAGTTTAGACTCTCTAAACGGTCCAACTCACGAGCCAAATCAATTGTCCGAATCTCGTGCACACATTCTATGCACACAGTTTGGCAATGTACCTAAAAAAATGGACAAAACATTTTCTGCAGGAGTGAAAGGTTTTTTAAAGTGCGCGCTCACCGCTCGCAGACTAGTAGATATAGAACTCGACAAAGAAACTGAATAAAAAAAACTAACGCGACCAAGACTCTGTTGATTTTTGTTTTTTTGTTGCTGTGAATTTTATACTTTATTTTCGTGTGTTCCAGTGTGGACTGAGCTGAGACATAGAGAGAGAGAGAGAGAGAAAACCGACCGATATATTTTAAAACCTAGCAAATGTACCGATGTATTACGTGCTTCTTTTGTAACGATCGTGTTTGCTATATGTCGGTTATTTTGCGCGCTTGTTTTGTTTTCGATTTTTTGTTTTGTTTTTTGCTTTTTCCCCCTCGTGTATATTATACTGTGTGCTCCCGCAACGTTACAGCTCTCTCTCCTTTTAATGTTCGGATTATTTTCTTCTCGGTGGCTTCTCCTCCTACCACACCCGAGAATGGATTGCGATCATATTAATTGCTTTTAAATTCCTTGACTTGAAGGCTTTATGTGTTCGCGCTGCAACTACTGTGTCGCTTTGCTATTTCATACAACATATTCCTCTGTCAACGATTCGTGTCTTGTTCCAGTGCAGTACACTCTCGGGCGCAGCACACGAGCGTGCCAAACGCTGTTTTTTCTGTTTTGCTCTCCTCAACTCTTTTTTTTCTGCTGCTGCTGCTGTTGCTCTCTCACATTGTCTGTTCTTTTGGTATTTCACTTCGGTTTCGGTACACATTTAACAGCCGCTTAGTCACAAGACTGATGTTTTTTTTCTGTTATTGAATTTATCTCCTAATATTTTATTGAAACTGTGTGCTACATTTATGCCAAATTCAACGTGTAAATGCTCATTTGATGAAGCGAAGAAGTACTTTAACGACCAGTAATTATACTTACATGTGAAGAGATAACAGCAAAAAATGCTGTGTAAAAACTGGCAAATTCGCCAAGAGAGCAAGAAACAACGACACATTCTGTAAGTTTTGTCGCCGAAGAAGAAACATTTCAAGTATTCTGTTAGCTTTGGAATGCACCAGATCATCACAAAAAGCGCACATTTGATCGTCACTGGCCTGTAGCTTCACAACCAAAAGCATCATTCCAAACGAAGTACTAACAAATTTGTAACGGTTCATACCACAAACGAAGTTCGCGAACACGCTTGTGCTCGACTTAAATAGTAAATTGAATTACAGAATCACCGCTGCGGGCAATGTTCGTCGCGTTCGCGTCGTTCATTTCCTTTTGGCAAAATTTTCACAATTTGCACACGTTTTTTTTTTATGATTGTCATAATCGATTGTGTGTGGTAAGGGTATCTGCGTAAAAGCAAAAAAAAAGAGAATCTAAACCAGAGTAGCATTGCCTAATTCAATTTCGTTAATGTGCCTATCATAAATTTACGGGTGTCCATTCAATTTGAATGGCTTTTAGCCAGAGGGAATTTTCGCATTTCTGATGTATTAAAATGTTTCGTGTCGAAATCATCACATTGTTGATCTAATTATTTTTGGTTACTAAATTTTAAAACCATTTTCACAACTGCATCTGAGGCATAGCGCAATATTTCATTCGCACAGACAATGGACGATCGCAACGTGACAGAATCATCATCAACACGACGAAATACCGTTATGAAAATACAGCACAAGAATGCAATTGAATGTGTACTTAAATATGTTGTACACCAATGCTGGTCTTTTTTTTAAACATATATGCCGTGATCAGTTGATGGAATGAAAAAGCGTACCATCTGCGGCTGACAGTTAATTTTAATGGTCTAGACTCTGGAGCAAATCAATTTTCTAAAATAAAAATGCTGCTGTTTTCAAAAGCATTTCTTCTAAACCTAGGAGTTCGAGAGCATCGGCCAAAAGCATACAAACGCAGAGAAAAGTACGAAAAAAAACCAAAGGAAAAATGTGCCACCGTGTAATTCGAAAACGTTCCACGAGGCATCAGCCACAACAGCATCACAAAACAAATATGCTTTACATTAAGGCCTGGGCTCGTTAACAAATAGGAGTGATGCAGAGAATAACA